GGAATAGTATAGCTGACTGAAGAGTTCACATAATGTGAAATCGTTAGGGAAAGCAGCAGAGAAGCATGTCAGAGTTGAGGCAGAGTTTGAAAGGTGAAGAAAATGGGGTATATCAACCAAAAGCAAACTCTTACCCCAACACAAATAATAAGACCCAATTCCTTCAGAAGTATCACTTTTTGTTTCCCTCTTTTCTTCCCTTCAGTAAAGTGGAAAGCTCCAGGAAAAGTAATCTCTTTGAGTCAGTCCTTTTGCTTTGTTCTCACAAAAAGTAAACCACATTTTGGGTGGTATTTTCGTGTTTGATAATTTACTTCATGACCTTCTTTAACCTCTGACAGTCAGCATTCTCTGCTCCCCTCTGCACAGAACAAGGATTCCCCTCCTTGCTGATTTTTAAATTCCCTTCAAGATCCCATCCATAATAAATGTAGAATTAGTAGGCTCAAATAATTTTAGATCACTATAGAAACAAAAGCTATTGAAATCAATTAATAAATTTAGTTTGTGATTAAGAGCCCCAGAAATGTCCAACTCCAGAAGGGAAATCAGAGTTGCAGGTGAACACACTCAACCTATTTATTGTCGAGAAGCCGGTGGAAGATACTCATTTTTCCAGATGATTAGAAGTTTCCTTGGCTGAAATAAATAGCTTTACTATGCAATGAACCCCAGAAGTTTAGAATGCAACTACGACCCTGGTGTATACCACTCTCTGCTTAGCAGTATTACTGTTTGAATGTTTGCTTTGTGGAAGGGTGAAAATACCAAAGAAAATTTTATTGTTTTCCTGCTATAAAATACATATTGTAAGGTTTCTGAATTTCCCTTCATATTGAAAACTTGCCACATGAGGATGTAGTAAGTCATACTGTTTGATTATTTTATAATATTTATATGGGGATTGAGGAGGCATTGAAATTTTTAGTTGGAGACTTGATGTTTTCATGCTGCAAAAGAAAGTTTCTGCATTCTTTTACAGATATTTTAAAAGTTACCCTTGTGAAGAAGTTATGCTTATTTAGTTTACATACCATTCCATCAAAATATGGATGAGCCAAATTAACATTTTGAAATTTTATTACTGATGGAGAGCATAAACATCCTCCAACCAGGCATAGTCTGTGAAATGGTACTGAAAACAGGCCAGGGTATAGGGCTGCGGCACCGAGGACAGGAGAAGATGAATGGTCCATTGGGTCAGATACAGACACTGAGTAAATGAGGAAAGACAGCATTGTATGATGCCACCTAATGTGAAGTATCCAAAGTGGTCCACTTTGTAGAAACAGAAGGAATGGTGGTTACCAGGGGCTTGGGGGAGGGGAAGTAGGGAGTTCTTTAATGGATACAGAGTTTCAGATTTGCAAGATGAAAAAGTTCTGGAGATCTGTTTCACAACAAGGTGAATATACCTAACACTACTGCACTGCACACTTAAAAATGGTTAGGATGGTAAATTTTTGGGGAGTGTGTGTGTTTTACCACAATAAAAAGCAAATGAGGAATGCAAATTGTCCTCTGAATTTATCCACAAAGAAGCCAGTAGTGACCTTGGCAAGAATATGGTTTTTAGAGGTTGGGGAATGAGGCCCTCTTGAAGTGGTTGAAGAGTGACAGGCAGGTGAGGAAATGGAGACTACATGAGTAATTTATTTAACAGAGTTTGGCTGGGTAGTTTTGCTGTTGTTGTTAAGAGAAACTATAGCATTTTTCAATAGAGATGCAAAGCATGCAGTGGAGGAGAAATGGAAAATTCAAAGGAAATACAGACCAGTTGAGGACCCTGAGAAAAGGGAGGAGATGGAGTACCCAGCATAGGATGTTGCTATTTGACACTGCTCAGGACTTGGAACAGAAAGGGTTCCTCTTGCTGGGTGGTCAGGTAACTTAGTGAGATGGGCAACTTTATGCTGCTTTAACCTGGGTAGATTGCTTACCTGGTTCTCCCCTGAAAAGCATAGAAAGGCACAATGCAAAGAAAGGCAGAGAAAGATCATGCAAAAAATAGTCCTTTTGTTCATTTTTGCTGAGAAAAGCAGGCCAGAAGGCTGCAAGCCCAAATCTCCAGACATATCTGGGAAGGAGCAAGCCTTCATACCTCTCTGGTGAGAAATGAAAACTCACTTAAGTAACAGACAAAGCAAAACGTCTGGCTGCTGCAGAGGTGCTATTAATCAGAGCTTCCTCCAACCCTAAAAAGAATAAATATTAGGGAATGACAGAATGAGAGTTGATATTGATGTCTGTTCCATATTAAATGAGGTAGTTGAAGATTTTCTTAAGCCTAGTATTTTTAGAGATTGGCTAAGCAAAGGAATAAGTGGTAAGTGTGTCACACATGGGAAACCTCCCAAGTGCATTTGTTTGGAAATTGGAAATCTGGCTTTTGAAGGTGTTTCATGAGTTCTGTGAGCTTTCTTCTCAAGTAGCACTCGTTTTTCCAGGCAACATAGTTCATGGAGGTGTTAACAGACTCAACTTCAACTCCCACTCCCTTTTCTTACCTGTTCTCATTGTATAATAACAATGTAGACATTGATAATTCTTTATATTTTCTTTTTTCTAGATGATTGATAATCCTTTATATTATAAAGGCTATTTTAAAGGTATTTTTGGAGTACTCTTCATTTCCTTGAGGTTGATGATGTGTCCCTTCTTAGGCAGCAATACTTGTTTAACCTGAATTGTGATACAGTCTCCAGGAGGTACAAATAAGGTGAAGGGATTAATAATTTTAAAAAAAGTATATGTATGTAACACATAGACACAGGCAACAGCATGGTGATACAGGAGGGAAAGGGGGGAGGAGGGTAGACGGAGGTGGGCGGGGGGGAAATGGGGACAGAAAGAGACCTTGATTTGGATGATGGATGCACAATGCAGTATGTAGATGATGTTTTGTTGAGTTGTACACTTGAAATCTGTATGGTTTTGTGAACCAATGTCACCCCAATAAATTCAGTTAAAAAATTAAATAATTAAATGAGCAAAATGAACCCACCTAAAAAACAGTAAAATAAACATATGTATATTGTGAGCGAGTTCTGTATTTAAAAACAATAAATTTCATTCATGCATTGATTCAACAAATGCTTATTTATTGGTTACTTTGTGGTAAGCATTTTTTTACACTTCCTTTATACCAGTAAACAGAATGGTCCTTGACCTCAGGGAGCTTCTAATCTAGTGAGAGAGTCCAGATTGAAACAGATAACTGCACAGATTCTATAATTACAATCATAGGTTCTGTGCAAAGAATTGTACAGGGTGCTATGAAAACAATATGACATGGGTAACCTAAGGTGATATGGGGAAATGGGGAGGCCTCCCTGAGGAGGTGACATTTAAACGGAGGCCAGAAGGACACTTGGGAATTGGCCTGGTGAAGGTGTGGTAGAGAGGTGGGTGTAGAAAGCCAGAAGTAGTAGACTATACAAAGGCCTTGATGTGGGAAGAAGCTTGGCCTGCTTTAAGAAGAAATGGAGATCAGGTGGGTGGAGCAGGCCAGAGGGAGAGGAAGAGCTCTCTAAGACGTGGCTGGGGAATGTAACGGGTAGCCCACGACCACAGTTGTCCCTAGAGCTGTGCTAGAAGGTCTAAGCAACAGACAGGGTCAGATTTGTACTGTTGAAAGTGTATTCTGGTAGCTGTGTGGAGATGTTATTCTCTAGGACAGGGGTCAGCAAACTTTTTCTTTGAAGATCCAGATAGTAAATACATTAGGGTTGGGGAGCAACTCCTCAACCCTGCATACAGTGTGAAAGTAGCCATAGACATATGTAAATAAATGAAACTTGGCTCTGTTCCATAACACTTTATTTATGGATGCTGACATTTGAATTTCATATAATTTTCATTTGTCATTAAATCTTATATATATATATTTTTTAAACCATATAAAAACAAGAAAATTACTTCTAGTTCCCAGGACATACAAAGCCAGATGGTGGCGGAATTTGGCCTGAGAGCCAGGTGTTCTGACCCCTTCTGTTTCTTACCCTTTTAACTTCTTCTCCTCTACCTCTTAAATGATATTTCAGTTCTACCACAACATTTTTCTTGAGTTGTCTACATTTTTTTTTTTTTCAACACTCTGGTAAAGATATGATCAGCGCTAAGTGAAAAATGGGAAAATAACCTCTCCTTTTTTATTTCTTTGTCTTAGTGTTATAGTTTCCACTTGATCAGTATAATATGACTGACCCATTCTATTTTTTCATCCACAGTCTTTTTATTTTTTAATAATGAGTTATTTTGTATTTTTTCTGTTCATTTTTTTCTTCCCAAAGTGTTATACTTGGTGCTTTCTTCTTTCAAACCTCACACTGAATTTGCATCTTTTCCATACCTGCTAATAATTCTCCTAAAATTTAATTCTGGCATTCAAAAGAAGAACAAAGTAAAAAATATTGAGACAAAGCAACATAGTTGCAGGCAAACATTTGTTGTATGACTGGATAAAATACTTTATTTACATCAAGACAAACAAATACAATTTCTGATCTGCAAACACAACATTCTGACTTGAAAGGAAACCCTTAGCTGCTTTTGTGTAGTGTGCTATTCAGGCAGCTGCCCCACAAGGTGCTGGGAAGCATTTTGTAGTAGAAATGGTACAGACAAGTCTGGCTCAAATTCCATCTGACCCTTACTAGCTGTATGATACTGGACAACCTAATTTCTTGGCACCTAAGTTTCCCTGAAGCATGCAAAATACATAGTGTGTGGGAATTCCCATCCACCTTTCTTCCCCTGTAATCATTATCTTTTAGCACATGGAAGAAGCTATGTTAAAAAAAAATGTGGGGGAAAACAGCCTGTACTGGTGGCGATGAGGGTGTTAGTTTTGGTTTTAACCTTATACAGATAAGAAATTAAAATTTACCAGTATTCCAAAATAAAAGCAATGTACATTTAAAAGGTAGTATAGATGACAGATGTCTGCACTTTTCATTAATATTTCCTTTGCCTTGTTTATTTTACTTCTGAAAACTTAGGTTTGACAGTTCTCTGGAAGAGCTACCTAAGAGCGGACCTCACCCACCTGCAACCCCTCAGGTTTTACATTTACATAATGGTAGCCAAGTAGCCACACTTTCTAAAGTAACTGCGTGTTCTAGGTAGAGTTTTCCCTTCCTGGTATGACTAAATTTTAATGCTGGTGGTGATATTAAATACTAAAATTGTTTGACTAAAAAGAAAAAGTGATCATAGATTGCAGAACTGACATCATTAATACGTAGACAGGAAAGCTTGGCGCTCAGCCTGGGACACCGCTTTGCACCGCATTTTTATTTTTCACTTTTTGTTTAGATTTAAGTTCTAATGTAGAGTCAGGAAAGCTGTGCTTTTTATTTATTCACTGTGCTTTGGTAAGTCAACTTTCTTGAGTTTGTCATAAGTCTACTTTACTAATTAAAGCATTCACCTCTTAAAAAAGGAGCCACAGAGATCATATGTTCCAGGTACCTAGACATAGTCTAAAGGTATTCAGGTTAATAATTCTCACTTCGCTGGGCTCTGCTGATAGTAAGTCCTTTTGTATTATTATTGTGATGCAGTATGATGAAAGAAATGCCTTTTCTTCTTAAAGGGGAAGGATAATTTAGCTGATTTTGTCTTTTAGCTGATTTTTTTTTTTTTTTATAGACTTAAGTTTCTGGTTATTATTTACAATTACTTCCCCCAAATAGTAGCCATTGCCTCAAAGATGTAGAGTAATTGATAAACTCAAAGTTGAATCACTGGGTAACTTTGTCCTTCCACTTTGCATGACACTCATGTTACCCTGCTCTGCCATTGATAACATCTTTCTTTTTTCTTTCCAGCCCCCAGTCGTTCTTTCCTAGCCATTTGCAACAATTGTTAAAACATGGCCATAGAGTTCAATTAAAGTTTAGACTTGCAAAAAAGTTTGTACTTAAAGTTAAACATATCTTTGTGACTTTTTTTTAAATGGTTTGCCACCATTTCTTTAATTTGGCTTCTAATGGTTTATAAAGTTATAGAGAACAGAACGACGAATAATGGATTATCAAAGGCTTTTGATAGGGAGACGAGACTTACATCCTCACAGTTTTCGACATCTGAGCTCATTAACCTGGGCTGAGTATGTAATTACTTAGTGTTGGAAGTGGCTACTGTCACAAATTTTGATCACAAAAAGTGATCGTCATATAGTGAGGATGTTCATTAATAAGTTGTAGTTATAAATGAAGAAGAGAGACTACAGGTTATGCATTTTAGACTTTCTTTTTACTTTATAAAATAGAAATTCTCAATTCCAATTTGATAATCGAATTTGGAAATCATTACAGTCCTAAAAATGGAATGTTAATTCCTACCCAGGTGTTTGACCTTTCCTGAAAGACCAAAGGAAAATAATTATCATTTTAAGTAATAAGAGTTCTGAAGGTAAAATTTTATACCAGCATTTTTAATCTTTGCAGAGCAAACTGCAAATAGAATTATAGAACAACAGCACCAGGAGGTGCTGTTGTAGTCATATTCACTGTAACTACTTTTTCTTTTTCAAAGGTGCTCGTCCTTCCCAAATAGCTTGACTTTCAATATTTTAAACAGTTATATTGCTCCTTCTGAAGAGACAGCAGGTTGTACCTGCTTCTCCTGAAAACACAAATCTCATTAAAATTGTCAGGCTCTGGAAGTATATCATCATCTGTCTCTAAGATGAAACCCTTTATGTAGAGTCAGTTTGGAAAAATCGATATAACCTTTTTTCTTTCTCTACTTATAGAAATTAAAACTTCATGTGTAGGTTTATTTTCTACTTAGTGGTTGACAACTCAATCTTCAAATGTGTGTTGTTATGTGATATTGATTTAATTTGAAATAGGATTAGGGACAGTGAACTTAAATATGTTCAAAAGTATTTGTACCTCAAAATCAAGTTTTATGGAGGATTTATAGTATATCAAATTTTAATTTCTGAAAAAAATCATAGCAGCAGTGACTAAATGACCTGAACTCCTATTACCCTTCTGACATGTCACACCTGCACGTCTAAATAGTAATATAGGACGTTTGCTCTCCTGTCTTTATTATGCTCCCTCTTCTCACTTGCCTTTTTGTTCCTCTCCTCTGTTTTTCTTTCCCTGCCTGTCAATTTAAGCAGCTCCACAAGAAATGTGGTGACAAGTTCTTTGGAAGGTTTTCGAAACTTTTCTGCCTTCTCTTCTGCTAGATACAGTGCTGCAGCTCTGAGCAGCGCGGCTGCTTGTGTGTCTTCCGTTCTTGCTGCAAAAACCAGGTAGAACTGTGTGTGCCGCGTGTGTCCAATGTGATGCCAACACTTTTCATTGCCTCACACGTCACCTCAAAGAAAACATACCTGCTTGAAACAGTCACAGCTCTGTTATAAGATCTTCGCCATATTGTGGACGTTTTTCTAGGTTGTAGATGAATTCCACAATGTTTGTTCCTGATTTTGCTTTATGTCATACTTTTACCTTTTTCTGCCATCTGTCTATGACACTGCTCAGTTGTGTGGATTGTTACATGTTGCGTGCCTGTTGACTTTTGGGATTTTATAATTTGTAGGGTTTTTTTGTGGTTTGTTTGTTTTTTTAGAGAGGAAGGAAGGGAGAGGGAAAGATAGAAACATCAATGATGAGAGAGAGTCATTGATCGGCTGCCTCCTGCACGCCCCCCGCCGGGGAAGGAGCCCGCAGCCTGGGCTTGGGCCCTGGCCGGGAATCGAACTATGATCTCCTGGATCCCAGGTCGATCGACGTTCAACCGCTGAGCCACACCGGCCAGGCTATAATTTGTAGTTTTTATGTCTGGAACAGAATCAGGTATAAGTAGGTATTTTGAGTTTCTATTGGTTTTATCTTCTCCCACAAACTGATTACATTTGGGGGTGATCTTAAAGCCTCATTATTGTTTGTAACACCCCTTCCTCCCAATAAAAGAATAAAACCTTTTTATTTTTGTGGGTTTTGTTTATACATACTTTCTAGTGGTCTGTTATAGCATCAAATGCTTTCTAAAAGATTGCAGTGATAATTTTTGGTGAAAATTCAGTCAATTCTGTATTAATGAGTAAAATAATGTAATAGACTCTTAGCCCTTCTTTTCAGCCTCTTTCTACTGCTTAGTTCTGTCTGTCTGTCTGTCTTCTATCTCTCTCTCTCTCTCTCTCTCACTACATTTGCTATTGGCAGTGTGATTTTTCAACTTAAAACTCTTTCTAAATGCTCAGCAGGCTTTCCAGTCCTGGAAAGTATCAGCCCCTCCTGGATGCACTTTGCATCAGCCCCGTTTCCAAGCCTTTAGCTTTCTCATGTCTCCACCCCTTGAGGAACTCGGCCGGCTCTATCCAGGTTAAGAAAACAAGGTACTGTGGGAGCAGATGTCACAGCGGTGGTTTGCTGTAAAAGACACTGCTTTCTGTAACACTTAACCACCATATTAACAGGCCAGATGTGAAATCCCTAGAGCTGATTTGTGTCTGGCTTTAAATTAACTGTACTTTCAATGCATTGCTCATGCACAAGTGCATTATTTTGTGTGATTATTAACTTGCCTTTTAACCCTATTTGGCTTCTTTTGTTAGCACACTTGGTGTTTGGTATGAAGCTATGAGTCATTGTGCCAGTATTTAAATTACAGTAGAACCCTGCCTCTTATTGCATGGATGTAGCTATAGTAGAATAGTTAAATGTATAGTAAGACGTCTCTTTACACCTTTTGAAAAGTTGATAAAGAATAATAAAATAATTGTTTTGTTCGGCTACTGTCTTATAGTTCTAAATATGAAGGTTTTACTTGGGCTGTATCTGGGGAATACTGGCACATAAAAATTAATTTTCCCCCTAAACGTAACAGTTATGGCAAAAATTCTTATGTGTACTATAAAAAAATAAATATTTTCCAAGTGTTCATTACTAAAGGTATAATCTGAATGAAATAACTGTATAAAATGATTTCCGACAGAACATGAAATTAATGGCAAGTGTACAATTATGTCCACAATTAATAAAAGCCTGATAGGACATAAGCTCTCTACTGATTGTGTGTTTGTATCCTACGCACTGTTATGGAAGTTTCAGTATACTTAATTATAACTCTGGGTAACGTTAAGGGAGGTGTTTAAACAAGGAGAGAGAGAGGTCATTGTCCATTTTGCTCTAAGAAAAATATCTGAAATCATTTTGTATTTGTGGAATTGTGAATATTAAAGGGACAGACGTCTTTCATTGTCAGGCCTAAGTTGGTACAGGGACGGGTTACTGACCACACTTGGAATACACTTTCCAGAAAAGCACCTAGTGCATTTTTTAAAAAAACTAAATGGCCAGTGGTATGTTTTGATTGTCAACAAATGGAGATGGGATGGGGAAAAATACTGGTTCTATGAAAATATTCCCTTTCTCCACTTGTGGAATTCAGTTATCTTTGTGTTCTAGGAGATTATTTTACTCTCACTGTTTAACAAAAAAAAGCAACATAAAACTTCTCGCATCCCTTTTTCAATTGGAGAGTTTGAATGCTTTTCATTTACTTTTATAAAACTAAGAACAGTTTTATAACTTTTTTTGACGTAGCTATTACATATAGGGCAACCTATCTTTAAGCAATGATGAATTACACTAAGAGAAATAAACCCTAGATACTTTCCCTTCAAGTCAAGCATCTTGTTGCTTAAATAAACGTCTTGGTTTTTTTAATAAAAAGATGTGTGTGCAGTTATGGGCTGCCTGAGCTAGTGTTAGTAGTCATTATCACTACTTTTTACTAACAGCAATTGGCACAAACAATGTATTTTGATATTTGGGAAAGGAAAGTGGTTCTGTACCAGGTCAGCCAGTTGGTGTTCTGGAAAACAGGGGCCCAGGATATGCTGAGGAGACCTTGCTTCCACAGCAAGAAGGGACCGAGAAAGCAGCTGAAACAATGTCAGAGATGTTTTGTCTCTGATGTTTGCTTTTGTATAACAGTAATCTTTAAAATTATAATAAAGCATCATAAAATACCATACTTGTTTCTTCCCATTATAGCATTTTGAATTTTGATACAAAAATCTAAGTTAAAGAATTTTGCTTAGAAAAATCCAAAAAAAAATTTGTAAACAGAATTCTGGAAGGAAGGAGACTCATGAGTCCTCTGTATGTCCGGGTTCTTAGAGTTCTGATGGTGAATTCTATAAAATAAAGCATTGCTTATAATTATGACCCTTTCAGAAATATTCCTTTCCTACCACTTCAGAATCTGTGTATTAGTGTATCAATTTTTATAACACTTTAGCTAAAAACTGTTTAATTTAAACATTGGTGGTTAAACCTGTGCTCTACAATTGGCTTTTTTAAAAATTTAAATGTGTAATTAGAATAAAAGCCATCTCAAGAGTATTCTTCAAACAGAGTTTTTCTTTGAATATAGACTTAAAATTTCCAACTATTCTCAATTTGAAGCTGAAATTTATTTGTTATAATAGTTAAACAAATGTGGAAAAGGAATGTAAACTCAAGATAAATCAGGTTGCTGACACTGAAAGTAAACTTTTCTTCCTTTTTCTGTTTTTCCTCATTAGCTCAGTTTTGAAAAGAAATCTTTGCTTTATTAGTATATTTTTCTCCATTTTCAGTTTTTGAAACACGAAACAAAAACTTCAGTGTTCTTGAGATGGATGCAATATTAATTTAAAACTTCATTTCAGTGTTTGTTTATTTGGCAAACTTAGTGAAAATGACCATATTTGATTCTTAGTTTCTGTGGCATGAGTCAAAGGTATCATGAATTTTCTCTGGTTTCCTCATTAGACTCTTTTAGAAAGCATTTTAATTTTGTTTAGAATTTAGGTATACCTTGAACAATTTAAATTTAGAAAAAAATATGAGTCATTAGAAAAAAATATGTGAGTCATTATTTTAGAAATCAGATACCAATCTAAGTTAAGTAATCATGCCATACTATATTAATAAATTAGTCATTTATTTAAAATATTTTGCTTTTGTCATGGCTGGTGTGGCACAGTTGGTGGAGCATCATCCGGTACACCAAAAGGTCGCAGGTTCAGTTCCCAGTCAGGGCGCATGCTCAGGTTGTGGGCTTGATCCCCAGTCGGGGTGCGTGCAGGGGGCAGCAGATCAGTGTTTCACACGTTGGTGCTTCCCTCTCTCTCTCTCTCCCTCTCCTTTTCTCTCTCTCTAAAATCAGTGAAAACATATCCTCAGGTAAGGATTAAAAAACCAAAAAAAAAAAGTATTATTTTTTTTAAAAAAAAGGTAGCTGTTACAAATCGAAGTGTGACTATGTGCCATGCAGTTAGTGTGTGCCATGCAGTTAGTATGTGCCATGAACCAAAGGAAGGAGTGTCTATTGCTTTAGAAGATTGTGTGATTAAATAAAATACGTGAATTGCTAGCATGGTACACAGTGCACCATGGGTATTATTGTTACTACTGTTACTTACGCAGAGGGTTTGGACTTGTGCAGAGGGAGCGTGGGGAGAGGTGCCTTTTATGTAGAGCCTGGGGAAAATGGAGAGCTGTGGGGAGAGAGGAGGCATGGCCGGAATGCAGTTTGTATAGCAATGTGGTAGGAGATACGATTAGACAGGGAGATTGTAGCTGTATCTTAAAAGGCATTGAATGTCACGCAGAAGTGTAACACAGCCCTCCACCCTCTCAATGGTTCAGTTTGTTCTACTGCATCTTCAGCTTCTGCTTAAGTGCCTTCTGGAGACAGATCTCATGGAAGGTGTTGTTAGGAAACACATTTTAAGCTTTGGACAATTTTTCATATTAGGAAGTACTTTCTTTTATTGAACCAAATCTATCTCACTGTAGATTCAGCTCAACATTAGGCCAACAGAATATAGCCATGTTGATTGAATTCACTATCCCGTTTGAGGATCGCTCTTATGCTTCCCCTGAGTTTTTTTCATATCCTGGACCGGTATTACCAGTTCTCTCAACCATATTTCATTAGGCTTGGCATTGATTCCTTATCATCCTGGGCACTTTCTTCTAAGTCTGTCAGCTCTCCTAAATTAAATTTTAATTCTTTCAGGTTATTAAACATTAAATGGTGACTTGGGTTTCGTTGATATTTCCATATTGTATTTTTGTTTCATCTGTAACTTCTAGTATTGCTTAGTCATAAATTTTCTTCTCAGAACTGTGACTATATGATTATTAATTAGTTTTTCAGATGCATATGAGTAATTAACCCTAAAATTAAACTGGCCTGTACTTATGTATCACTTTCAAAAATCATTTACTTTTAGTGTGTAAAAATATTGAAAAGAAATATTTTATTATTTGAATATATTAATTGTCCTTTTCATATGTTAACTTCATATTCTGTGCCTTAGAGTATGCTAAGCACTTTGTATATAATTATCTTATTTAAGCCTCGTGGAACTCTATGAGCAAAGTATTATCCCCATTTAAAGTTTAGTAACTGAGGCTTAGAGAAGTAAAATAATTTGTCCATCACACAGCTTTTAAAAGGCTCTCATAGCCATTATATTCTAATGCTTAAGCTGTTTGCATTAATATTATTTATTCTGCCATCTTTATTGGTAATTGTGTCCAGCATCGCCATCAAGTAAGCAATCTTTCACTTTTTATTTATTATAAAAAATTAGTTGCTTAAACTTTTCATTTTATAGTATGTTTTAAGATCAGGCAGGTTTTAGTTTTTCATTAAACTGGTTAGAAATGATAAAATGTGGTGGCTCTATTATACTCAAATTTGAGAAAACAATATTTCAAGAAAGTTAAAATAGCACTGGTGTGACTTTTCAAAACTTCAGTGTTGGAGGTGCCCCGAACCACCCCCAGTTTTGACGATTCACTGGAGGACTTATAGAGCTCGGTACATAGTTGTACATGACTAAGATTTATTACAGAGAAAGCATACACAGCCGAATCGGCAGTGGGAAAAGGTACGTGGGATCAAGTCCGGGAGAAATAAAACCCACGTTTTCAAAAGCCCTCTCCCAGTGAGTCACCCAGGATGCGCCTGATTGCTCAGCCCTGAGTTCTGACAAGACGTGCAAAGTGTTGTCTACCAGAAAAGCTCATTAGAAACTAGGTTCCTAATACAAGGTTTTTATTGAGGCTCGCTATGGAGACACGCTGTGCCTAGTTATTATTGAAATTCCAGACTCTCAGAAGGAAAGCCAGGTATTTAGCATAAACAACATTGTTTATGTAGTTTAGGCACAATGAGCAACTCTTATCTTTTAGAGAAAGTTTTATATGACTATAGGGAACTGTTTATGAGCCAGGTTCCCAAATGCCAGTCAAAGGCCAACCTTGCAGGCAGGCCTTCCTCAGGATAGGCAGCCTCGGGCCTACTTAGTTAGGTGTTATCCAGGATTCAAGAGGCATTGGGGAAATTAGGCATTCTTGTTCATTTGTTAGTGTAGTGGATGTGACTGAATTTGAAATTTCTTTTCCTTGAAATAATCTCAACCAAAACAGTATAATTAAGCATATTTATTTTATTGAAGTCATTCTTATAGTATCCTATCTTTGTCAATCTGTTACTCCAGCTGTTGCTTTCAGATAGTAAAGAAATTGAGTTTCTGTGCATGGAATTATCTAAGTAACCAGTACCTCAATTTTTTATTGAGAAGTTAGTAGGATGTATTCTTGTTGTTATAACAACTTTTATTATACTTCAATTGAGAAAAACTGTTACAGTATTATGTCATTCCTGAGTGCATATTTTATCATTTGAGCTATCTAAAAATTTTTTTGGAAATAATATTTTGTCATAAGTAACAAATAACTGAGTGATAAAAAGCCATATGATCTAAATCAAACTGGAACCAGCACAGATAAGGCCTCCCGTTAAGCACATAACTGACTGAGAGCGGACCATGGTGGTCTTGTCTCCTGTTTTCCTGTTATGAACACGGAACAGTGGGTTCTATTAGACTGGAGATGTTGTCTCTTGTTTACCACTGTGTGGCCAGAGTGAAGCACCATGTCTGGCAGACGGCAGGTGCTTAAATATTTATTGAGTGAATGAGTGACAGTCTGTGAGGGAGTGACAGGTGAGATGTCAGAGAAACTTAGTTCATAAAATACCAGAAGAATGTGAGAAAGGGGAAAGAAACATCTGTGCTGTTTCAGAGAGATTTTCAGGGATTCTGTAATAATTAATTATTTTAATATAGATGATTAAATGTTGAGTTACAGAGGAATAGGGAATTGAAAGGATTGGCTATATAAGTTTTTTAATAGCCTGATTTCTTATGGTAGACCTTTTAAAGAGAATTTCTAAAGTATTGAACAAATGCAATCTGCTTTCCTTTCCTTTGTTTTTGTTTTGTTGTTGTTGTTCTTAAAGAGAGGTAGTCCCTGAGTCATGGTGTTAGAGTGTTTTTTTAAAATATCAGTTCAGTGATTGTTATTTTTGTTTTCCTTAGAGATTTAATAGGTTGAGAAAACAAATGATCATTGCTAGGTTAGCTTGCTATCACTTCACCAAAAATGTTTTCTTACCTTCTTTCCAGCAACACCCAGGAGCCTTCTCAGCACTTGGCTTCATCAGTGGTTTCAGCGCAGAGTAAGGCGGAGAGGCCGGAGAGCCCGGCCTTTGCCAGACCCGGGGTGGCTGGGCTCACGACTGCTGCTGCCTTCAAGCCTGTAGGATCCACCAGCATTATCAAGTCACCAAGCTGGCAGCGGCCAAACCAAGCAGGTACACCAAGGAAATCTCCACCTTTTTGCTTTTAAGTGTAATTATGAAAATGTGTTCTGGGATATGTGATAGAATGCACTGGTGAAACCCATTTGCAACCATCTAAGGTTTTAAAAGGACTGCAGAGAGTAGCCACAGCGATTTTCCTCTCTGAAGTGTTTCATAAACATTTTCTGTGTGTGTTTGATATTTGCTATTCATAACTACAGAACTCGGCATTTTCTTGTTTCCCAGCTCACTCAGGAAGCGTGTGTTGAATTGTAAATTTGGAGTTTTATTAAGGAACTGTATTGTTGGGAAGGTTACCTCGAAAGTATAACATTTTAGTTTTGATGATATATACAAAATAACAACAGAAGCATCTGTTGCCGTCAGACAGTTATTGAAGAAAGGAGCTTTGGCTTCTTGTCCTCGGAAGATTTACAGGGCAGCAGCAGAAGGAAGACATGGTACTAGAAAGAGAGCGTTTGAACGGCGTTAGGATGGAGCAACTCAGGGTCCGTCTGGAAACCTGAGCGTTCATTCACTTCTGTAGATAAATAGCTTTAAATAAAGCCACTTAACCTCTTTGACCCTCCTTTTTCTGATCTGCAGGTTATAGGGAGACTAAATGATCCCCTGTTCCTCCCAGCGGGAACGAAATTGGTGACTATAGGACTGAAGTAGCTGTTTTAATAGGAAGATGGGAACTAGGCTGAAACGTTGCCTGCCCCACGCTCAGCTTTCATCTCGTCCTGTTCCTCACACTCTCCCTGATGCTCTCGCCTCTGGGTTTCTTTCATTACCTGGCCACTGATAATTTATATGGTCCTCTCTCCCAGACTCCATGTCCTCAAATTCCTTTGACCTACTTGCTGTTTGCCCGTGGCCCCTCAAATGCAGCATGTCTGAAGTGTCATTACCTGTCCCTGAACAGTGCTTCCACCCAGTACCAAAGCTGGAATGTGAGCTTGAGACCTTCCACCCCCACCCCCTGTTCTCACGAGTAATTAACACCTAACGATCCCACTTCTTAGTATTTATCATATTTCTTTTCTCCTCTCCATTGCCCTGGTTCAGGCCCTTGTCCTTGCAAACAACTTGTAGCTGATTTCTCCGTCTTCTCCTTGCCCACCAGTCAGTCCTCCAGCCACAGCCAGCGACCTTCCTCCACCTCTGGCTCGCCCGGTGCTGTCCCGTTGCCGGTGCTTTGCTTAACCTGCCATTTAAGTCCTTCTTTTATTCTGGCCCAGCTCTCTCCTCAGGACCATCTCCTGCTGCTCCCAATTGGATATGATCTAGGCTATTTTAAAGAAGAGGTCATTTTATTAATTTTGAAAACTTAAGATATTTAGACTAGTATCATTAGCCTCTGGAATTTCTGGACTATTAATTAACTTAGCAATACCTATTCTCTTGGGGAAAAATACTGACAGCCCAGCCGATACATTTTTAATTATTTCCATTTACTTAAAGCTTATCCATGACAGTGGAGATTTGCTGTAAATATTTTGTATGTGCATTAAAATACAGAAAATAACAGATTTATTTGGTATGGTAATTGGGAGGAAACAAGAGAATATTTCCTAAAAGAGCAAGGAAAAGACTGAATTTCTGAGGTAGAAGCTGAAGGAGGGAATAGTGTATATGTACTGTGGAGGGCAGAAAATATATCTATTGCTTTTGGAAATTCAGAAACTATAGTCAAAATAGCACTTGGCCTGTTAAAGTGAAAAGGAAAATTTTCACTTGATGTGAAACTCCTGGAAAATACACTTCAGCAAAATTACCACGAGAGGGCAGCAGAATCCTTCCTTCTCTGTGAATAATCAAGGCAGGCGATGCTGTCATGATTCACATGGTCGGTATTTAAAATATTATACTTTTTACAGAATGTTTAAGTGAATTTAATTTGAGCAAAACTGTAACAGTGTAAAACATTATATATCACATCATAAAGCATTAATATTATAAAAAAAGTGTTTTGCCATTGTGAAGTCATTGTTGAATTAGATCATGGTGCTTGCCTAGCTCAAATCAGAGAGCATTTGCAAAACACATGCTGTGTATCTTGCTCTAGGTGCTTCAAACTGACATTTAATGAGTTGTGTTATATGTAAACGTTACTTATTTTACACTATTTTATAAAAATTGTGACATAAATAAAAAACTCCCAGCTCCTTAAATTCTCTTATTCTATTCTACCTAATAGTATGTCATATTTTAAAACAAAACAAAACAAAACCCTCAGAATTTACTCTGAGTCTTATAAGCCATTTCAAGAGCTTCCTAATGCAAATGAAAAGTTCTTTTGATTTAGAAGGTGACAGGTGCCTCATTGTGGCTTCTCATGGTCCTCGCAATTCACCTGTGAAAACTGCAGTGTCAGCCAAAGAGATGTAGGAGCTGCAGAGGCAGGTGGCTGGGCCAGTGTGGACTTAAGTAAGCATCAAGGCAGACGCCATTGCTTCTCTCACAAGAGAACTTCAGGTTTCTTTCCTTTTTTTAAAAAAAATACGTTTTTTTACTGATTTCAGAGAGAGGAAAGGAGAGGGAGAGATAGAAACATCAATGATGAGAGAAAGTTGTTGATCGGCTGCCTCCTGCACACCGATCAGCCTGAAACCTGGGCAAGTGCTCTGACCGGGAATCAAACCACCATCTCCTGGTTCATGGTCAGTGTTCAACCACTGAGCCACACCAGCTGGGCTAGGCTTTTTTCTCTTGATATTTCACAGCTGTGCACTAATGTGGGTGAATAAAGGAAAAAGAACTTCTTTTATTCCCTCTCCCCCATCACCAAAGACTGACAATTACCAGTGATGTAATTTTAAAATAATTCTATAGTTGGATGGGAAGAGTGGGGTCAAAATCATTGAATTGCTGTCTGTGACCCACCTAGTTGATCCTGAAGTCAGTTTAATGGACCATAGGCAGCATTTTCTGTTTTTTTCTTTTCTTCTTCTTCTTCTTTATTTTTAATCCTCACCTAAGAATATGTTTTTATTGATTTTAGAGAGAGAGGAAAGGAGAGAGAGAAGCATCGATCGTTGCCTCCCGTATATGCCCCAACCAGGGATCAATCCCAAACCTAAGTGTGTGCCCTGACCAGGAATTGAACCCACAACCTTTTGGTGTGTGAGACGATGCTCCAACCAACTGAGCCACCCAGCCAGGGCATCAGTATTTTCATTAAAAAAATGAAATAAGGTAGAAAATATAAGAATATTTTAATATATTAAGGATAGGTATCATGTTATAAAATGTGGTTTTAGTCAATATATGTGTATTTAAGTAAGTGTGTTTGTATATACACATACAAACGTATTTTGGGGTCAGCAGGTAAAGTATATTTTATACTGTATTTTATAATTAAAAAGTTTGAAAGTCATTTTGTCTGTTGGGTGATGACTAATGTGGTTGTGAAATGATAGCTTGAAAAAAACCACCTGCATTGAAAGGGCTGATTGAAGTGTTAAGACCTACTAGTATATTCTGAACCTGTCATGGGTTTCTCTTCCCCCCACTGCAGTTCTGACTTTCAGTCTTCGATCATCTCACTTATGGTAGTATACAGCCTGTGTTACCAGAAGTCTTTCAGACCTCAGTAATGCTACACCAGTCGATAAGTAGGAAGTAGGTGTGTATGTAACAGCATTATCGTTGAGATTGGATCATCTTTTTCTCAGGCGTGTAGTTTAGCATACAGCACCACACATACACAAGCTTGCCAGTGACTGACACAGAGCTGAATATTTTAGGATGCAAAATGTTCAAAAGTTTATAGTCTGCATGAAAGTATTAAGATACAAAAGAAGTTAGAATCCAAGCTTGAATTTCTTGTAAGCTAGCAAGACTACTTCCTACTCACCCTGTATCTTTGGTTAGACTTCCATAATTTAGATGCAATAGTCCCTTTACAAATGTTGACTTGATCTAGAAAAATACATAATAGGTGAGATTCTTCTTGTCATTTTTCAGAATGGGGGATTTGTACCTTTTTTTAAACTTATATTTTAATTCACCATATTTGTATGTCTAATAGATTTGTAATGTCTGAAACCTTCATATTGTATATAGTGAATAAGTGGTTAGATAGATATTTTCAAAACCTTTGTAAATTTAGTGGTATGAGTTTAAAAATATGTTCCTGTGTTTATGTAGGTGACCTAATTTGCTATGTAATGTTTTTCCTAGATTCTGTTTAGGTTGTGGATACCAGATTAGTTCATTCGATGCAAGTATACGCATGAAATATTACTCTGTCTTACCCAATATAGTCAGAAGTCCTTCACAAATCCAGTATTAGAGCCATAAAGAGCCATTGTATGCTGGAGGCACATCAGCCTTCTAACTGTAGTTTAAGTGTATACAAAATGAGGAGGACTCATTCCTTAGAACATAAGTGCTTTGCTAGACCAGGTCTGTTGTCCATCGAACCCGGCTTGCTAGGCGATGGTGGTCCTGAGGAGTAGGCACGCCCCCCCTATGGAGTTGAATTTCAGAAGGCCAGAGGTTCCCCAAGTGGAGCATTTTGAGCCTTCCGTTTATCTGTTAAAATAAGGGTAGAAAAGGTCCCTTAGAGCTTTCTTGTGACGCTCAAGTGATACAGTGAAGAACTTGATACATAGAAGATACTCAAAAAGGGCCAAGTTTTCACCCCTTTATTGTTTTTAGAGGCAGCGTCAACGACTTACACTGTCACCATCCAACAGAACAGCTCTCATGTGACGTCCCTGCCGGAAAAGGTTTGGGGCTCTCTGCTGCGCGCACATTGAATGTTTGGCTTTCTTAACAGGGTTTGCGGTCTCTTTACAGCCCTCACCACCCTTCTCCAGCCTCCTTTTGTAGTACCGTTCCTCATGTTCCCTATAGTCCAGTCGCACTAAGATTCATCAGGTCGTACCATTCCTTGGGCACGCACCTCTGCGCTTTGTACAGGTGCCTCATTTACTTGAAGTGCTTTTGCATCTTACACCTTCTACCCCTGAACAATTTCTAGTCACTCTTTAAGACCAGAT